ACACACACACACACACACACACACACACACACACACACACACACACACACACACACACACACACACACACACACACACAGGGCGGGATAATACCATACAGTCTATGGATACTACACACACGCATAGAGCGGGATAACACGCAGAGCGTCACACCACGTGAAAGTGAAACCTGAGCGGTGAACTCATTTTCGGCAGCCGGAATTTCGGTGCATCTCTAATTATTGGCGACATTAGAAATGGATATTATATAATAGACGAAAGCAACACTATCCCAGTTTAGATAGATCTGGACCAAATGAATCTTACTTTCAGGCTTTTTGTTCTGACAAACTTCAACCTTCGTATAACCTCGTCCTGACTGCTATATTTGGCGATTATTTAATCCCTCTGCTAGGTCATATACTTTATTTTCCACTGCTCATAAAACATATTCACGAATTGACTCTATTTTCATTTCTACTTCCTTATCTTCAGCTGCTTAAGATGCCGATATTTGCCCCCTATTGATATCTGATCATGATGGTAATTTGAGCAAACTATCTTTGGTCCCTCAACCCATCTTGGGATGGCGATTTAACCCCAAGCTGTTACAGGAAGAAAACATTTGCAGTCAGTACAGAAATAGGTTTGCTGAGTTTATTGAAATTAACAGAGGTTCAGTGGATGATCCACGAACACTGTGGAGCGTGGTTAAAGGCTATATATAAGAAATAGTTCAATCTCATATGCCTCTTTCTTACAAAAAAAAAACTAAAGTTTTGGAGTGGCCTACTCAAAGTGACTTGAACTCAATGGAGATGTTGTGGCAGGACCCAAAACAGACATTTCATACTCAAAATCCTCCAAAGTTCCACCACAGTGCTGTAAAAGATTGATCTCCAGTTATCAGAAGCATTTGGTTGCAGTTATTGCTGCTAAAGTTGGAACAACCAGATTTTAAGTTTAAGGGGGCAGTTAGTAACTGTTTACTCAGATTTTTGTTTTATTTTGTGAAAATCTAAAATGAAGATCTAAAATTATTTAGTAGGAAATAAAAACAATAAATCAGGATGGAGGCAAATACATTTTCACAGCACTGTACAACAGTTGTGTAGGCTACTTGTAATAAATATATGTCAGCTTTAAGGCTAATCTATGTTCTGATGTACTAAATGTTGAGAAAATATTTTTTTTAACAGCAGGGAGTACATATTCTTTAAGGATTAATAATAATATTGATGAATCATCAAGAACTACACAATTTATTTATTTATTGTTTGTTTGTGTGATCAAATGCAATCAACCAACTAATCAACCAACCAAATGAAAATATTATTGATGAAGAAAATTATTTTTGTTGTACATTGTCCTTATCTGGTTCTTTTGACCTCTTCTTCCTTATCCTACAAATTTTTATTGATTGATTTACTTAACGGTTGTTTTTTTTACTTTTTTTTTCAATTGATATCTTTTACATATTCTCTCTATTTGTCTCTCAGGAGGACTCCCAGAGGTACTACTCCTGGCGCAGTTTTGGTCCTGGTGACAAACGCACACAGGATCTCTGGGTGGATCTTGATTCAGTGCATCAAGGACCTGTCAGAGTGCACGCTATCCTATCCAACACACACCGACAAGCATCGGTGAGACAACCATGCAGAGATATTCCTGTATTCTTAGGAAAATATGCACATGGTTCACATGGGCAAAGGAAACATCTTATTCTAGCTTGTAATTTTGTTACTTAGCATTTTAACTCCCTGCTTACGTTTTATTTTTCTTTCTATTTCTCCCTTATATATATTTTTCTTTATCCTACTGCCCGTCTCCTCACTAGCGGTTGGCACTATCCTTTGACTTCCTTTTCTATGGACATCAAGTGAGACAAATCACCATAGCAACTGGAGGTATTGTATATAGACTGTTCACCTCTCTCCTACATCAGGCCATCTGGAGCATATCAGACTGGTTTGTGTTTGCCTTAGCACACAGACACAGAAAATGTCTCACATGAGATGCTTCCATGACCTCTTTTGTATTATTCAAGACTGATCAGATCGTCCTTTTTTTCTCAATACCTAGGCCCTTTTTTTCAAAACTCTTCACACAGTTCTCCTTACCAAATTTCAGCTTGGCACACCACTAAATTTCACATCCAAAACGCACTAAAACTACCAAAACACTTCATACTTAATAAATTGTCTCAAATCAACGTATTCATCCATAACACTAGCAAACCCTCATAATGCAATATTGCAATTAAACTTTACCTCATGTAAATGCAATGCTTCGATCAAAATAATGTGATTAAGCTCATAATCATAGCAAGCATAATCGTATTAAAATATATTTACATTTACATTAGTTTTAGTCATTTAGCAGACACTTTTATCCAAAGCGACTAACAAATGGGGACAATAGCAGCAATCAAACTAACAAAAGAGCAATAATATGTAAGTGCTGTGACAAGTTCCAGTTAGTCTCACGCAGTATGCTTAGAAAGGTTTTATAAAAAGAAAACAAGTACATAGAATAGAAATAGAATAGAGAGTGGTGGTGTTAGATGGTTTTTATTATAATAACTAAAAGAAAACAAGTAGATAGAAGAGAAGAGAAGAGGAGAAAAGAAATAGAATAGAGAGTGTTAGAAGGTCAAGTTTATATATACATACATCAGAAGAAATGGACAGCCCCTGAGTTAAATATATGAGTGTCACAGCAAAGGGTCTGAATACTTAGGACCATGTGATATTTCAGTTTTTCTTTTTTAATAAATCTGCAAAAATGTCAACAATTCTGTGTTTTTCTGTCAATATGGGGTGCTGTGTGTACATTAATGAGGGAAAAAAATTAACTTAAATGATTTTAGCAAATGGCTGCAATATAACAAGAGTGAAAAATGTAAGGGGGTCTGAATACTTTCCGTACCCACTATATATATATATATATATTTATGTTAGGGGTGTAATGGCACGTGTTTTCGTACCGAACGGTTCAGGGCGTAAATTCCAAATGGAAGTGATCATCCCTATGCCCTACTCCCTTAGAAGGGCAGAGCCCTTGTAGTGGAGACTTTGGTGTGAGCAGGGCATGTGCATGCCATTATGTAGCCGTTTCGAATGCACTTGGCAAAGGGAGCAATGTAATTTTCTCATTATCTTCAGCTGGCATGTTCCCGTGACAACGCAGTATGGTGTCAATCAGCAGATGTCGCTGTTTTAATGGCATAAATGTCTTTTTTTTGTTGTTAGCATAACTGTTGCAAATAAATATTCATTTTATATTTTAAAAAGTTTTATCCAAAGCGACTTACAAATGAGGAAAATAAAAGCAGTTAAAACTAACAAAAGAGCAACAATATACAGGTGCATCTCAATAAATTAGAATGGTCATGGAAAAGTTCATTTATTTCAGTAATTCAACTTAAATTGTGAAACTCGTGTATTAAATAAATTCTATGCACACAGACTGAAGTAGTTTAAGTCTTTGGTTCTTTTAATTGTGATGATTTTGGCTCACATTTAACAAAAACCCACCAATTCACTATCTCAACAAATTAGAATACTTCATAAGA